TGGGCTTTATAGGTCTCCTCAGATGGCTGAACAGCTCGTTATAGACACTTAACATGATATGCGGAGTGACATTCTTTGATTATCGAGAAGAGCGTTGTATAGATAGAAAAAGGCTAGGTAATTGCAAGGAAATAATTTATCTATCGTCATTTCTTTTAGCTTGGCTGTAGATTAGAACGAGTATACATGGCCTATATCCTGTCAAAACAGATCGTAGCTGTTTTGGCGCGCCGAAGTATTAAATATATTGATTGCAACGATCTTGATATTTTGTATTGGTACAGGGTTCGGTCCTGTTATTTGCAGATTCTGGAAGACCTCTCGGCGTTGCGGGCAGTTATAGTAGACCACCAACTGCTGAGTCTAGCGTATTGTATAGAAGAAGGTAATATCAAAGCGAGTAGTTTGCCTTGTTCAGGGTATATAATTTCTTAATTCTCTCGCGGTGCCTCTCTCTCTCAGTCCAGTTCTATCCCTCCTCTTTCATTTCTCATATTTGCCTCCACTTTATCAAGTGTCTCTTCAGAATTACTTGGATAATATATGCCATACATGTATACGAATAATAGTCATCTCGTTTGGTAGCTCAAGGAGCCGAAGAAGGTATGAACGTCGCAGACTGTCGACGTATGAGTAACTGAAGAGTATTCACGTGACGTTCACTGATACGGAAAAGGTTTGCTTTGTGATGCACGGGGAAGTAGAGTAATGAACACAATGGTGGTACTCGACTGAAACAGTAGAACAATGCGGAGATGGAAGGATGAGTAGTGGATCAGGCTGGATCGACTACAATTTGTAGCAAGCGCAGGGGAAAGCACGACATGCGTAACAGACAAGCAGTATCTGCCCCAATTTCCCCTACGGCAATCAAGGGAAGGGAAGCCGGCACCGGCTTCGCTTTCCATAATGATTATGACTTGGAGGACGTCAGGCGTTCATAAATGAAGAGCAAGAGCAAGCACTTCTCCGTACTCGACGCCAAAGCGTGAGTCTACTCGATTGATTACCCGTGGCACTCTCACAGGGACCCAACCATCTATCAAAAGAAGACTCCCTGGTACATTACATGGCTATACACGAGTGCGTAAGGAGGACTGCCACATATCTTCTCTCCGACTAGAGATTTCAGTTTTACCCGAATGAAAACTGTACCTTTTCTATTAGAGTTACGATACTCTGAGTATAGATATACTAGCTTGTCAGAGTGGTAAATTAGACAAATCATTCTAATTGAATAAGACAGCTTGGAAGAGAGCACTACATGAATGTTAAATGACGCAATTGCAGGACAGCCACTACTGCCAAGGTACACCATAAATCGGGAAGTAAAGGTAGGTCGCGAAAATACCTGGAGATGAGGAAGTATTAGACAAGCTATGTCAGTGATGAACAGTCTCAAAGAATAGTTTTCAGTTAGGACATTGTTGGCTCTCCAACTAGTCACATAGGCTTATAACCTAGAGTATGCTCTTATAGCTCTTATAGCCTCTGCAACCCCCTTTCTTAAAAGAACAAGAGGATATAAGTTACTGACGTCTAAGCTTTTGAGTATTGTATAGATCAAAGTGTCCTACAATATTAATTAGAACTTTATGACGTGGATTGGCTCCGTATGGGAACTAATTTTGTTACGAAGATCCTAATAATACCTTAACTTGCCCTATCTTACTGTGGATGTCTAATCGATCTTGGGTACTTTATAGGTATACCGCAGTTTCTCAGTCCTAGACCAGTAGTGGGAGGTCGTGGCTTCTGTGTAGGACCTATCTGAGCGGTAGCCTCTGGAGCTTAATGTTATATGACGATGAGTAGTCAATTCACGGCGGTCTAGAAACCTCTCAACCCACCGAGTCGTACCGGATCTGCTTAGTCTAAGCCAACGGGTAGCGATTGTCCACGACCATATAGACTTCGTCGTAACCTTGTGTAACATTTTGAATACAATTATGGGTGAGTGTGGGTAAGATACGGCCTGACATGAACGTGTCACTGAGTTCTGTTCAACCAGTCAATGAGAGCATTGCAAATTTCCATGACGTATCGGATGTCACTCGCACATAGACATAAACTTGACAAGCTGCATGCCCCTCCAGATGCAGCTGTTTTAGGCACCCCGAATGCAGAAGGAGGTGTCATCCAGTCGGCGTATGCATGTCGATATAAGGAATCTCAACGTCATGATCTGTTGAATTTAGAATGGCCATTGACAAGTGCGGAAATGGCTTTGCTCCAGCCTGACGCTTGAATGCTGCAAACGTACACTTGAAGGGCCAAAGTAACATTCCAAACTTTGGTAGCTTGCATAATATGGAAAGCTGCTACTGTAAGTCATTAGAAGGCAGTCATGTCGTGGACGGTTGCATTCAATTCTTTGCTAAAGTGGGGTCGACTATGTTGTATGGTGTAGGAAAGAAGGAATCTCTGATTTTAATAACGGTGTCATCGAGATGGGGTTCGAGTTTAAGTCCATAAGCTCTTGCAAAGACTATCAAAGGTTTAAGAAGGGGAGATTCTCCGTCCCGATGCTGTAACCTTTTCATCCCAGGTCAAAAAGTTGACGGAGAAACCAGCCAACCGTTTCAAGGCAAATCGAAAACCTCCCTAAATCAACGAGTCTCTGGAGACCAAACTAAGCTTACAATGTCTACCTCTCGCTTCCAGTCTGGCCCAACAGCCGCTCCCCAGTCCACCGTTAGACACGCAGGTCTTCCGGATGTCAGTCCTTGCGGCAAACTCTTCCAAGCCGCCAAAGACGGCAATACGAAGCTGATCGAACAGCTAGTTCTGCAAGGGGCTGATATCAATCAGCAATGCATGAAGCTCAATGGCTACACCCCGCTGATCGTGGCGGCCATTGCGGGTCAGGTATCAGCTGTCGAAGCGCTACTCCGCCTCAAAGCTGACCCTAATATCCGGGACAGCGATGGCTACAAAATCAGCAAACTGGCTATTGACGCCAACCAGATGGATGCAGTGACCTGCCTAATTAAATGGGGGGTAGTTGTAACTGATCCGCGGGTCCAGGAAGGAAAGGATTGGCTGACAGAGCAATACGAGCTCATGTGGAAAGACGTCAAGGATCCAGATAGCAAGCCACCTCGAGCAGTGCTAGACTACATCAACAACGGCTATCCTAACGGCCCATGGCCTGACAAGCGATCCATCTTGGATGTGTATTGGGAGCATATTCTGCTTCAGTACATCGGTGATCAACCTCTGGATATCCAGCGGAATGTGTCGACGGATCTCATCCTGCCTCATTCGGGAACCTTTTGTCGCATCTTGAGCGGTCACGCAGGTTATAAGGAGGCGGCCAGGCTCTTGTATAAGGCATTGCCTACCACCAAGTACATCATCAAAGGAACTGTTGTGGATGAGAAGGACCGATGGGTCACTGAGCGATGGGGATACCTTGACACAGACTACAAACTCCAGGTGGAAGATGGTATCGACGCTTTTTTGATAAATAAGGAGACAGAGAAGATTGAAGTGATGATGATTAACTTCAGCGTTGGACCTACTGGGTCGTGAATTGATGGGCAAGGGACCTTCGGTCGAGATTGGAATGAGGTGGGTGGAATGAGGTGGATGGAATGGTTTTGTTTGCTAGGGTCTCCGTTGCTTGTATAAAAGTTGGAAATCGAGGAGAAGAAAACTGAAAATAAGGAAGGAGGAAGCCAAGAATGAAATAAAAGAAAAAAAGAAAAAGAAACTAAAAAAGAAAAAGAAAAAGAAAAAGAAACTAAGAAAAAAAGAAAAAGAAAAAGAAAGAAAGGCTGTGTGCTTTTCTGCTGACATACTCTCAGTGTTATTTGTATTTCTGGCTCTACTATGTTTAGTTCCATGTTACCATGTTACCAGAAAAAGAAAAATAATTAAAAAAGATTCTTGGTTGATTTTGTAATAAACGCGAGAAGCTTTTTCTATCTCTTAGTCAAGCTCTGTTTTTTAATGCTGCTTAGATTATTTTTTTTATGTACGTCTAGTCCTCACATTCTATATGTAGGATTAGATATCAAGAAAAGATAGAAAAGATACAACCAACCGCTGTTAATATTGTTGCTGTTCATATATTCCCCTGTCCTGTAATCTTTAGGGATATATTTCCACATGTCTATTCTGAGTACTGGTCCCAGAATATTTGATACTTCCGGAAATCGAGAATAGAAACCTTTTTGGTCTATGAGGAGCTGTATTTAGTTCAAATCCAGAATAAAGGTTTAGATATAGGGCAGATTGTTGAGATGTAAAACGAAAAAGGACCTAGCCCTACGACATTGCTCAAGGTAAAAATAGTGCCTTGAAGTATTATTTCAATATGGAAGCTCAATGTCTCTACCAGGACTGCAAACCTCTTGATTTAGCTTTCTGCTTTTCGTCCATAGGGGACGGACTATGGGACCACTCGTACGACTCGTTTTTCTCCGAAAGAATGTCCTTTTCGTTACTCTGTGCCATATTGGGCCGTGATGACCAACCCGAGTCTCCGCAATCAGGGCAGGGATCAATATTGTAGCCAATCCCATGGCAACTCCCGCATCTTTCCGGCGCGTATCCTTCGCCATCGCAGCTTCGGCATTGCTGCGAGAAGAGCGGGGCGTGGAACTCGCCACGATCCCCTGAATATCCATTTTCTTCGAGACCACCACGTGCTCCCTCACAGTAGGGGCAGATCCCAACTTGTGTCCCAGATCGATCACATTTCCAACAGTCATTGCGGACCTTTTTCATTCCTGAGCAGAGATTGCACTCTACCATAGAAGTCAATAGTGTAGGTTCCAGAAGGGGGAAGAGATCTTAATATCAGTTTAGTGACAGGAGCTAAAGGCACGGTTGAGGGACTCCTCACAGCTTTAATAGATCCGATATCGCCTATGGATCAGAGTTGTGTTTTCGATTTATGAAGGCAACAAATACCGTCCATTAATAACCAATGCCGCCAAAGATGGTATTGTTAGCAAACTAGTTTAGCGGAGACTCAAGAGGTATTCACGAAATTGGTAGATAATCGATCAAATACTCGACGAAGTGTGATTTATAGGTGGTGGTCAAAGGTTTTGGAGATTTATCCACCAGCTCGTGATTTAGCAACAGTCCGCGCGGAATGCTGCGCAAAGCGACCTCGATAATGTAATCGTCGGTATCTAAAAGTGGAACTATTTGATGTTACCCTGGCTATAACCATCGCTACCGGCATTAGCCGATTCTCATCGGAGAAGCCGATATGGCGAAGCCACTAGAAAATAGACAGTTGGATAGAATTCTGAGCAAGATAATCGACACGCCAACAACCATGAAACAAGTATCCTACGGTAGCATTATTCAGATAAATTAGACTTAGTAGCAGCAAGCAACCAGAACCTCCCGCCAAGTTGCAGATTTTTCCGGCACTAGACCTCCACTGTCCTAGGCCAGGATTCATAACAATACCACTGTTCCCAATATTGCTTTTGCACCCCATTCCATTGTCATCAATGCGTTCCAAGGTCAGCTACTTGATGAGAGGCTGTATAACATGCAGTTCACTATTCTGAGAAAGCTACGGTTCCTGGATGTTAGAAAGCAATGAGTTCCACTCTCCATGATTCAGATCCTCGCCAAACACTATTCCCTCGCTCCTACCTTTCCGTATTGATTTAGCGTGTAACTTTTTTTCGTCGTAACTGCAACGAGGCTTGTTCTAGTCAAGTTCTCCAATTCGGAAGACCCAGGAAAAATGTTGGGTGCAATCGCCTGTCGGAGTATTTCCGCCTGTGCTGGAGTGAGAATACCGTGATCCAACACAAGACTATCTAATTCATGGAGAACAATCCCCAACATTCTCTTACCACGAATAAATAACATGCTTCGTGAATTATTCACGCAGCTTAAAGACAGGTGACAAGTGATTTCCCACGAAAGGGTACAAAGCTCATGCGGGTAAAGCAGTATTCCCACTTGATCGACTCTCTAGAGACATGCCATTTGCCTCTGTATCGCCATCACGGAGTACGCAATGCAGAGAATATTCTGTTTTGCAATTCCTCTCGGTCCAATACCCGCGTTCCGTTTTGACGTGTGCAATGAACAGATCGACAAAGTCCCTGGCAATTCTCGAGGCTTTAAAGCGCCTTCTTCCGATGAAAATGCAACCACTGTAAATATTCAACCTTAGATTAGCATGCTGTATCAGTAAATCAGTAAATGGACTAGCAGGCGCGGATATGCATATACGTAGAATTCTCTCTTCGTGTGTCTGCCATAGCCAACGGCTCGATATGGACGTTAAACTTGATTATTAATAATAATAATTCTCTCTTCGTGGGCTTCAAGGGGCAGTCGGCGAGGGAACTGCGCTTTTTCGTCTGTCCACCATCTTTCAACAAGATTTGCCATCGCAATTGAGAGCGCTTCATGCAGTACTCCCACCCTGTCAATCTGGGATTCGGACACAAGTAGTGAGTAGGGAGAGAGCTTGTAAGACCCTACCGGGTGGCTGTGACAGCCTCGGCTTTACAGAATGAAGATAGGGACGGAGTTTCTCTTGTTGTTGCCTCCAAATCTCTTTTGAGAGAGCAAACTTGCAGGAGCTTCTCCTGGTGATTCATGTTTGCGTTTCGTTCAGAGTGATACAAACCAGCAAGATACATATACAGAGTGGTTTATGTTCATAACTTCAATTAAGCCCTAGAATCAGCAGGGATAACTACTAGTCATGTTCCATAAGTATTCTTGGTGATGTGATAGCTAAGAGGTACGGCGTATGTACAGATGTGATTACATCTTCATATGACTTACGGTATTCCGTTTTCGGAAAGATTCTGACCTCCACCGTTCATTCATTTATCGTCCACTTCGTTTGGGCCCCTTCCTTTCACCTCAACTAATTAATATGGGCCCTAATCTACCTCGCTCATCGATAAGAGAGTCGATCGACTTGCTTAAATCACTACAAGGGTGTGCTACCTGCAAGTGCGTACCGCGCCGTGTGCCTTACATGCGCCCACTAAATCCTAAGCCAATGCAGGATTCGTAAAGTTAAATGTGATGAGACAAGGCCGCAATGTTTGCGCTGCAAAACTATGGGCCGAAAGTGCCCAGGGCCCCGAGTGTACAAGGAAAGACCTGGAGGGCAACCTTCGTACCCAGTCTCGCAATTGCATTCTTTACAGCCATCCTCCACTACCAACTGCCATGGACAGCAGGAGCGTCGTGCGTTCGAGTACTACTTCATCCATGCTGTTTCTGGCATCGCAGGTGTCCTTGATATCAGTCTTTGGAAGGGTACTGTTATACAGCTATGTCGCTCAGAGCCTGTGGTCTGGGACGCTGTCACTGCTCTTAGCGCCCTGTATGAAAACCCGGATCCATTCCTGGGACCACCTATCGTAGTACCTGCCCTAAAGACTGTGACGAAGCATCACGAAGCATTGGGCTGGTACTTCCGCTCAATGAAAAGTATGCGAATTCAAATCGAGCAGAGCAAAGCTAGCATATTCACTGCTCTCATTACATGCGTACTTTACCTATGCATCGAAATCCTGCAGGGGCATACAATCGAAGCATTTCAACTTTATGAGCAAGGGATGCGACTACTTAGTGCACTTCCTCCCAGAAATACATTCTATGAGAATTCTGCTATTCAAGATCTTATTGTCCCACTCCTTTTCCGCTTGGGCGTTTCCGCAATCGTGTCGGCAAAATATCCAGTTATAGATCCGTTTAAGCTTGTGTCTCCAACTCTAGACTTTCCATTTCCTACCATTGACTCTGCCCGGACAGCCGTTTACTTCCTAGCCATAGAGTCCATGTCTCTTCTACAGGTAGGATATGATTACTTGGCCACACCCACACTTCATTCAAACGAACCACTAGCAATCTCTGCCCGTCAGCACTGTCTCCTATCTCGACTAAGAAAATGGGACCATGCATTCGCCAAGTTAAGAGAGGTCTACATATCCGGAACTTCCGATCCATTACAGCATTCGACAATATCACTACTCCTAACATTCCATACAGCATTGACCATTCTTGTATCAAAATGTTTATCAGAATACCAGATAATCTTTGATTCACACACAGACCGCTTCCACCTTCTAGTCAAGTACGTGACAGATGCATGCGCCGCATACAACAGTTCACGGCCCCCACCATTTACATTCGAACTAGGGGTGGGCATGCCGCTGTACACCACGGTCGCGAAATGTCGATTACCCAAGTTGCGAAGAGAGGCATTAGCCCTTCTTCGACAAGCGCCACAGGTCCAAGGGTTCTTTAAATGTGCGCCGTGGGCCACGCTAGCTGAAAAGGTCATACAGCTGGAAGAAGACCATGTCCCCAGCGTGCGGGTAAAGGCTCTCTCCTATGGGACAAATGTTGACCATGCTATGTCAGTGCATGGGAATAGGCACTCTGGAGAATCTCGGGAGATCTTCGTTTTTGGGGTGCTTATGGATGCTCCCCCCCGTTGTACATGAGGTGGTGGAAGTTGAACCGTGTGATTTAGGCGACAAGGTCGTCGCAGGAGAAGGAATTGTTGCTAAGGAGCGGCATCTCTATGGCATTGGTGTCATCACAACGGTGAATATTGATGCGATCGAGGAGGTATACTCGGATGATTATGGTGTGGAGAGGGTGAAACTGCGCCAGAGGGCTGAGGAACATTTTCTGTTGATGTTTACACGTAATGAGTGGTCACTGAGTGGTGAGAGGAGTAAGGCCAGATATTTTTTACTTATAGAATATTCGGAATTTGCGCAATGAAAAGAAAAAGGAAGAAGAGAACGTTGAATACCTAGTATTTCCTAGGTGTCACAGGCCGCGATACCAAAAGCAGCCTGAAATATCAGGCTATCGAAGTCAGAGTCTGATGACATCACGGGACCTGGCATTTTTGCCCAAAAGAGTAAGGCGAAGGAATATCTTCCCATTTAACGCGAGGGGTAAGGAAGGCCTAAGGTCACTCCTCTTCGCTAATTTGCATTATCGGAAAGTGAAAGGTGCATTGTGACTTTATTCCACTGCAGCAATGGCATTCGCTCGCAGCTTAGCCATCCTTCCCGGAGGACTAGGTAGGGTTGAGAGGTGGATAATGCAGTGAAGAAGAAACCTGTTAATTTCAACCGTGGTCCAGGTGGGCTCGGGTCAAGCATAGGCAAAAAGCTCAAACAACAAGGGGCTCGCCTCGCCATTTTGTACGCTCCCTTTGAGGCGGCCCGTCGAGACCAGCTACTGGAATCGGCATACGGCCACGTTCCCGATAGAAATGAAATCCGAACCTATGAATGTGACATCACGTCGCCGGAATCCGTTCAGTCGGCGTTCGACGCATTGAAAAATGAAATAGTCGAGCTGTCATCTTCATCTCCGGCCTACCCGAGTATCTTGGTCAATACAGCCGGCTACGTAAACTTGAGTGATATGGAAACAACGCCACCCGAGGAGACCATGAAACATCTCACCACGAATGTTTTTGGACCGATGCTCTGCTCCCAGGCATTTGCCCGTCTCTACTTTGCTGCGTCCAAGGTTGCCGAATCATCAACACACAACTCCCCTCCGCCTGGGAGAATCATCAATATCGCATCACAAGCGGCACACGTAGCTCTACCGCGACATGGTGCCTACTGCGCCTCTAAGGCCGCACTTCTCGGACTAACCCGTAGTATGGCTTCCGAGTGGGGAGGTCGCGGCATCACATCCAACACCGTATCTCCGACGGTGGCATGGACGGAGCTCGGGAAGAAGGCATGGGGCCAGCCAGGAGTTAAAGAGGCCTTTCTGAAGACGATCCCGACTGGGAAGTTCGTCTTACCGGAGGAGGTTGCTGATGCTGTCCTCTTTCTTTGTCAGGCGAGTACTCTAAGATTGTCGTGTCTCTTCTTAACCTGACTAGCTGAACAGGACTCCAGCGGCATGATCAACGGTGCAGACATCAGGGTAGATGGCGGGTTCACCATTCGATGATTTCCTTTCTCCGGGACTTCAATTGTCATGTTGTTTTCTTTCCCCAGATTAGATACAAAAAGATAAACCAGTCACAAAAAAAAATTACTATATTGAGAGTAGAGGCGGGCTTATAGAGCAGTGCGAGAGGGGTGTCCAAATATAAATCCATTAATAGAAACGACAAATTGCTAAATATGTCCACCTGATATCCACCACCAAGATGTTATCCTCTATAATATTCAACAGGAATGTTCGATCTCGCATGACAGGTCCCGAAATTTAGTTCTTAGTGGGAGCAGGCCTGGGAGGCTGAGGCTTATCGATAGGAGGAGGATGGGGGACGTCGCCACGCTCTCCATTATCATTGTCCTTAGGAGGACCGGGCTTGTCGGTGGGGGGAGGGGGAACATCTCCACGCTTGCCCTTGCCGTTCTCCTCCTTAAAGTAGCTAGTCAGGTCATGACCAGTTAAAAGCCCAGTATAATGATTCCGAAGTATAGCCGGAAACTGTTATGACAATATAGGCTTTTACCTAATCTGGTAGAGGGCCTAGGGGTCCCTTTTTTTCACCCTCACGCCATTCCGGAACCTCAAAACCAACTACCAGAATTGTCAATATGATATGTCTGCTGATATCAGCCAGCTCAGTACAACAGGCCTGTCAGAGATTAGAGCAAGCTGCTAGTATAACTATTGAACAAGGCAAGCAACAGGCAATCTAGTTTGAACGGCAAAAACAGAAGCAGTCCTCTTTACAAGGAAGAAAGGCAAGGATCTTAAGAATCAGATCCAGAGAGCTAAGCTTCAGATAGAAGGGCATGGAGTCTCATTTAACTCTGAACACCTGTCGATTAGGCAAGGAAATGCAATAGGAGAATATCAGGCGAAAACTAGTACGTCCATTCAGTACGGGACGAAAGCTTAGAGAATCCTAATACATGGAGACAGGGGGGTAGGAGTATATCCATCAATTATACCCCTCTACTCGGCCACGGGTTCCGTAGCTTAGATCACCATGATCGCTCTATATGTCAATTGGCCATAAATGGCTTTGTTCCCGTTCAGTGTTCGGGAAGCCGAATGGTAGACAGTATATCGAATGGTAAGCAGGAAATCTCATTACAGATATCGATACTAGCCTCCCGCCTATACTATCGAAAGCTTCAATATCGCGTTAAGTGGGTCGGACAGGAATGATTATAATCCCTGGTATCCGGCTGGGAATTTCAAGAATGCGCCTGCACTCATACGAGATTTTCATGCGCGATATCCAGCTCTACCTGGACCCCCCTTGAGGCTCTCGGCTGGCTGCAAGCAGCGGAGAATGATGAGTTCCTGACAGACCATCAAGATGGCAATAAACCAGCAACATGACTGGTCATCTACTGAAGGGGGGATAATGTGACGATCTAATCACTGTTCGCGCAACTGAAGTCATTTGCACTGTCTGTCCCACAACCCCCCATATTGATGTCATACTAGCGGTGATCCATTGGTGTTTCCTTTCCTTCTTCCGTTTAGTCTCCTAGTACGAACCTGCGAATAAGATCGTTTTCCATTCATTGAGGTTACCACAATGCACCTGGGTCAGGGTATACTGTACGGTCGTCAGGCCGAATCGCTATCTGACCTGTGGCATAGTGGGCTATATACGGGCCATATACAGATCAGAGTTAGTAGTTATTAGGGATTATGTTATTTATTAGCTTACATCTATTTTCTCCAATACAAAAATTTCTTCTAACTTATAAAGTTAGTTAACCGGTATTCTTATCTATAAGAGTTACAAGTATTACTTTCTTTTATATTAACCTTTCTCGTTTCTTCTTCTAGTAAAACACTACGCATCTCATCATTCTGCAAATGGCGTCGCTTCACTCTCTACAGTCCACAAGTATGGGTACCACCGTCATTTTGCATAATTGTACTACCCTCTCGGCGTAATCATATGTTTTTGGGGAACATTGTCGACAGACTTCTGATTTATCTCCGAGCGTTTGGAAGATGAAGGTTATGAAGTTAGCCATCACGTAAGTGGTAGATATAGAATAGAACATGACAGTGGATTACGTTGAATGCATGGACTTACATTGTCTGTGTCCATAGATAGCTACCGCTTATTGGCAGAAGGGTTTTATTCAAGCCCTCTATGATAGCCATCACAGTTGCACCATCGGTGTTTTGGAACCCCCTCATTTTGTATACCCCGCATTCTCTACACAAAGGAGAGAGAGCGCGGCGTCTTTGGTTACGCATCGCTTCCATTGTGGCTATATAGTAAATGCAACATTGAGAGGCTGCACAGCTATATTTGTGCATGTCTTGACCGATCAGGCATTCCACATATGACCACTTTGTCACAGTTTCCGTTTATAGGTGTCTTTCCTCTATCTATTCTCCCCAGCAAAGTTGAAGCTCACAGGCTGGTGGACACTGCTACTGCTGCAATAAATCCAGCTGTATGCATCGAGTCAGGTGCATGAGATGGGAGAGGTAATTGGAACATATAGTACATGGGGCTATTGTTTCCGTGCTTCCTAGCCCTATCAATACAGCGTCCTATCGGATAAAATGTGAATGGTCCAGCGGCCAGACTTCTGCCCACATTCACGACACACCGGCTCTTTTCCAGAGAAGCAAAGACATAGCCCATTCTGATTGCTGCGTACTACGACTTATTCCGCGCTACAGGCCGCCTCCATTGTTTCCTAGGTAGGACGAACGGGGGCATCAATACAATACAGACACAGAAAGTGTGAACGTGTCGAACGAGGAGATAAGTGGCACCCCCGGTCCAACTATATGCTATAAGAAATTAAACATGCAGATGGGCTGTAAATGCTGAAGCATTAGATACAACACCACATCAGCAATCGTCAAGTTTATAAACCGACCAGCAACCCAGGTGACTTGGGACCTTTCTAAACGGTCTTCCAGGCTGAACTATACCCCTTTTGTTGTCATCTTTTTCTTTTCTTCACTTCCCCATTCCCTTGATTTCTTCTGGAAGATTTTCCTGTACTCTTTGTTGGTCTGGTTCACCCTTTTATTCTTCCCTCCTTACATCGAATATCTCTTTTCTTTTCTTTTCCTGGAAGACTATCTTGCAGTGACTCTACCGCCCAGGCACTGGCAACTTGAATAATCATGGATATTAGGACTTCCAGGCGTTTTACAAACGAGGTAGATGACTACGAAAGCAGGCACTCGAAATTTCAAGTTCCCCTCTACGGGGAGGAAAGCAATAATATATCGAGTCATGGTGTCCCTCCTCTTATTGCAATTGTTGGTATGGGAGTCAGACTCCCTGGTGGTGTCCGGTCACCGGAGGATTTTTGGCAACTGATGATTAATAAGAAATGTGCATCAACCCCTGTACCAACCGGGCGTTATAATGTTGAGGCCTTCCATGGCACCGTGGGCGTCGACACGCAGTCCGTGGTTACCACAAATGGGTATTTCTTGGAAGAAGACTACCTGGGAAAGATCGACTCATCTTTCTTCCGTCATAACAAATATCAACATGGCGCACAGGACCCACAACAGATGCTTCTTCTAGAGGTCGTGTGGGAGTGTATGGAGAGTGCTGGCCAGGTTGAATGGAGAGGCACAGATATCGGATGTTATGTGGGAACATTTGGAGAGGACTGGCTCGATCTTACAGCTAAAGACACTCAGAATCTGGATCCTCTTCACATAGTTGGCACAGGCGATTATGCAGTGTCGAACCGGGTGTCGTACGAGTATGACTTAAAAGGACCTTGGTATGTATGCTCCATTGGCCTTGTCTTTCTGTCAACTGACGTATTCACAGCATGACCTGTCGTACTGCCTGCTCCTCGTCTTTAGTTGCGCTCCATGAGGCCTGTCAAGCTATCGCACTAGGCGACTGCCCTTCCGCTATAGTTGGCGGCACAAGCCTCATTTTTACCCCGACAATGACGACCAATATGTCTCAGGGTGGCGCACTTTCACCAGAAGGAAAGTGTAAAACCTTTGACGAGTCTGCGGATGGCTACGCTCGCGCTGAGGGCATTTGCGCCATTTATGTCAAGAAACTCGACAATGCCATCCGAGATAAAGACCCGATTCGGGCAGTCATACGTGCGGTAGCTACCAATTTCGATGGCAAGACAAATCATATTACAGTGCCCTCAGTGGATGGACAAGAAAACTTGATAAGAAAGGCTTACCGTAAAGCGCGTATAGATAATCTAGCCGACACTGCGTTCGTTGAATGTCACGGAACTGCTACACGTGTTGGGGATGTTGTTGAGACCACCGCTGTGATAAATGCATTTGGAAAACAAGGTATAATTATTGGAGGAGTGAGATGACCCTTTCTACTACGTATTCCTATCAAAATATACGGTACATTTCCCCTTCTGAGACTGGAGACTAGGTAAAACCTAACATCGGACATACCGAAGGCGCTGCCGGACTTGCAGGGCTGATCAAAGCGGTACTGGCCCTAGAGCATAAGCAAATTCCTCCAAATATTAACTTTTCGACCCCAAATCCAGCTAGTATGTTCTCCGAACCATCCTTGCCCTCATCCCGAAAACGTCGATAGCTAACTGTTTGTAGTTATGTTCGAAGAAGGAAACCTACAAGTGCCGGTTGACACTCTTCCCTGGCCAAAAGACAAGGTGGAGAGAGTAAGCATCAATTGTTTTGGCGTTGGAGGTACGAATGCCCATGTAAGTGCTTTTCGGTGTTTATATATTCCTCGGAGCTCTAGGGATCTCATGGGGATGTATAGGTGATTGTGGACTCTGCCGAGACAGTGATGGGGTGTTCAAATCGAACGCGAGATAAACCTACGAGCACGGATAACTTTCAACTCTTGGTGGTTTCTGCTAGCCACCCCGAATCACTCGAGAGACGGAGCAGCGATATCCAAGAATATCTTTCACAGAATGCGATCTCTTTGAATGATTTGGCGTACACTCTCGGTGCAAAGCGAGAGCATTTACATCAACGAGCATTTGCGGTCGTAGACCCGACTATCCTTGCTGAGACTCTTGCCTTCAGAAAGAATATTGATCCTAAGATGAATGGAGGGAGTGTCACATTTGCATTTCCTGGCCAGGGAGTGCAATGGTGTGGGATGGGGCGTCAACTAATGCAAAGCTTCCCATCCTTCGCAAGGGACATGGAAAAAATTGACGGCATCCTACATGGATTGTCCAATGGACCGACTTGGAAAGTCACCGGTTAGTCCGTAGTTATGTCTGCCTCCTTCCCTTTGTCAACGAGCTATGCTAACTCCATCTATTTGGGGCGGAAGACAAGATTGTCGAATCAGGGCAAGATACCAATATTGACAACCCGGAATTCTCGCAGCCTCTATGCACCGCAATCCAAATCGGCATAGTCAACATCCTACGTTCTTGGGGAATTGTACCATCCAGGGTCATCGGCCATTCTAGCGGAGAGTTTGCGGCAGCCTACGCTGCCAATGCCATTTCACTAGAAGCGGCTATGATTTTGGCATACACCCGAGGCGTGATAGCTGAAAAGGCACCAGAGAATGGTGGTATGCTGGCAGTTGCTCTCGGCCGTGCTGAAGTATCCCAGTATCTACAGAACGATATTGTGGTGGCGTGTGAAAACAGCCCGCAAAGTGTGACGCTTGCTGGAGACCGTGGCCAGCTCGAACATGTTGCAGCCCAGATACAAGAGGGAGAGGATGACATGATGATGAAATGGTTGCCTGTGAAACGGGCATACCATTCTCGTAAGTCTCTTTAACCTAGTGTCTCACTTGATTTGTTTCTTAACGTTACTCATCTCCAGCACATATGGTTGTTGTGGGAGAGATGTATGAAAATCTGATCCGACCTCACCTAACGGAAAATAAGAACAGCATGATCGACATGTATTCCACGGTTCTCGGAAGGGTTGTTACCGACCCAAGCGAGCTCGATTCTACCTATTGGCGCCGAAGTCTGGAGTCTCCTGTCCTTTTCGCTGCAGCTTTTCAAGGCCTGTCTAACTCTATCGGAGGCAAGCACCAGCTTGTGGTAGAGATAGCGTCCCATCCGGCACTGCGAGGACCTATAAGACAGATACTGCAGGATGAAACGAGCGCATACACATATTGTGACACACTCAAACGCGATCATGGTAGCGCTTCTGAAATCCTCGCTGTCGCTGGAACAGCCTATATACATCATCTACCAGTTGACCTAGTCGCGGTTAATAACGGTATTTCGGCGCGCACCCTGACTTCAGTCCCTCCATATCCATGGCGGCGTGAAGATAGCGGTTGGATCGAAAGCCGCCTTAGTAAAGCGTGGCGGCTGCGTAAGTATCCCCGCCATGAACTTCTTGGAGTTCGGTGTTTAGAGTCTATTGACCATCAGCCGACATGGCGTAATATCCTCAAAGAAGAGGAAGTGGTATGGATTAACGAACATCGCATTCGAGGCCTTATAATACTTCCAGCCGTCGCGTACGTGGCTATTGCGTCCGAGGCAATTAGGCAGATTACTGGTTCCACTGATTGTACTGTCCACCAGCTTTTGTTACTCGAGGCTCTGGTGCGAGACAGTGGAGACATTGAGATTATGACAACGCTGCGAAAGCTGGCCCTCAACTACGCCATGGACTCAGAATGGTATGAGTTCACTGTCTGCTCCTACAACGGCCAAGGGTGGACCAAGCATTGCATGGGGAAAGTGATGGGGGGCGCTGATAGACCTCTCCCTTCAAGCACGATATCCCCACCATTTGCTCGCTCTATAACCTCCTGGAAATGGTACCGCAGGTGCGAGAAGAAAGGCTTAGGCTATGGACCACGGTTTGAGGGACTCCAAGACGTCAGTGCTCACCCCTTGAGAAATGCGGCTCGAGGGCGAGTACATGATGACCGTGATCTTCACAATAGTTACTATTCCATACATCCCACCATAGTTGATCAGTGTATTCAAGTGGTACTGATTGCGGGTGATAAAGGCGTGTCTCACTATCCCGATAAAGCTGGTATGCCTACCTACATCGATAGGTGCTACATAGCTCCAGCCAGCGGGTCGATGCTTGTGGAAGCAACTACTAGCGACCCTACAGAAGGCAATTTGACCGGCAATTTCAAAGCTGTCTCAGAGTCCACCACAGATATTGTCTTGGATATCTCTGGGCTGCGACTTCTCCCTGTCCCAGATATCAACGTCGAAACCAAGCTAGCGACCTTTATACGGTGGAAGCATGATATCCGATTCTTGTCGGCAGCTCAGCAGATGCCCCTCCCTATCAACCCCGGAAGGGAGACCATGCTTATGATTTCCAAGATGATAATCCTAACCGTACTTGCTCTCGTCCCAAATTTAGAGTCTCAAAGCCCTTCGCTCCCATCCATGATGAGATATAGAGCAATGATCATGGAGACCGGCCAAAAGATTACCCAAGGGGCATACAACCATATTCCAGGGGCAAAAGAAGCCACCTTTATGAATTCGGAGGAGCGCCAGGAAGCCTTCATGACTCTGAAAGCTAAGATGCAAGATACTCGCGTCGAGCAATTCTTTATCAAAGCCTGGGAGTATGCAACTTGGGGTCCTAGCTCTTTCATGAGTGAGGAAATATTGGAAGATCCGTCACTTCTAAAGGCAATAAATGGAATCGTTGAATGGAGTCTAGGCCTTTTTGACTGGAAAAACTTCCTGGATCCACTCGGGCACTCGAATCCATCGCTCCGCATTATGGAGGTCGGTGCAGGCATAGGGTCATCTACAGCTGCTATCCTCGATGCTCTCGTTGTCGAAAATGGAAAACATGCCTTCAGCAAGTATACTGCTACAGATATAGAATCTTCCCTTCTCGGTCAATTGAAAACACGGTTTGATAAGGTGTCAGGAATGGAGTTCGTCCAACTAGACATCTCCAAGGACCCAATGCAGCAGGGATTTGAACCAGCTAGCTATGACTTAGTGGTCGTGTGCAGTGTCCTTTACGAGACTCCCACTCTTCGTCATTCTCTCGACCACATTCGGTCATTGCTAGTGCCAGGGGGTCGATTCCTGCTGTATGAACCGTGCTCAGAAATCCCTTTTATTGACATATTGATGGGCATACTTCCTAGTTGGTGGCTCGGAGTGGGACAAGACCGTGACGAGAAGCCTTACATTACCGTGGATCGATGGGCGAAGGTGCTGCATCAGGCGGGCTTTTCTGGAATAGATAATTTTGCATACAATACGCCACCGCCCTTGAATTCGCATGTAGTGATTCTGTCAACAAATCCAGAGCCTGAGCTCTCACGCTATCCGATCAGTTTGGTATGTACACGAGAGGTTCAGTCCCACGTTTGGGCGCAAAATGCGGCAATGCAGATGTCTGAGAATGGGTATGAACCACATTGGTGTATCATTGGTGAGAAATTCCAAATACACGACAATGCCATCGCTCTACTTGATCTTGAAGAGCCTTTCCTGGATAGTATGTCCCAGTCCTCATTTGAACAACTACAGAGTTTGATAATCTCCACAAAACGTCTCCTTTGGATCACACATTCTACACAGATTGCTTGTTCCGATCCTCGATTTGGACTTGTGACTGGACTGGCTCGTACGCTACGTGGGGAGTTTGATGTTGACATTGGAACTCTTGAAATCGATTGTTTCGACAACATAGCAAGCTCCATCATCGTACCAGTATACCAGCAGTTCGCAAAACCCAGGGCAGAACTGGCTGCTCGAGACTATGAATTTATATTAGAACGAGGAGTCTTGAAAACTGGCCGTGCGGCGGTAACTCCAGTGGCACACCATTTACGAAACAGCGACCAGCATGATATCTATGAACTTGACATACAAACGCCTGGTGACATGAGTACCATAGGCTGGAAGCCAGTTGCAAGAGAAGAGGTCGGCCCGGATGAGGTCGAAGTCAAAGCCGAGTATCTTTCACTCAATTTTAAAGACCTTATGATGGCGCTGGGAGTGGTGGAGCGAACCAAGACAATGGACTTTACCTTTGAAGCTAGTGGTATTATCACCAAGGTGGGATCAAAGGTAATAGACCGACAAGTGGGCGATCGGGTTACATTATTCACCCCAAAACCCATGAGGACCTATACAACTGTCCAGGGCGATCTGATTATGAATATTCCCAAAGAAATCAGTTTCGCGGAGGCAGCTACTTTTCCGACAGCATACTGCACTGCGGCCTGTACCTTACTTGAGATGGGACAGATGCAGGAAGGGCAATCCGTACTGATTCACTCTGCATGTGGAGCAGTTGGCCTTGCGGCCGTCAATATCTGCAAACAAGTTGGAGCGGAGGTAAAGTTCAAAACCCGTATCGTTGGACATGGCTGACGGTGAGCCAGATATTTGCTTCAGTGGGCAGCGAAGAAAAAGTACAGTACCTGATCAAAACCTACGACATCCCCCGTTCGCATATATTTGACTCACATAATGACTCTTTCCTGTATGGTGTTATGCAACAAACTAACGGAAAGGGTGTTGATCTGGTGTTAAACTCGTTGGCTGGAGAACTCTTTCGGGCATCATGGCAGTGTGTTGCTAAATTCGGCAAATTACTTGAGATTGGAAAACGGGACATATTGGGCCACGGAATGCTCGACCTCCATGGCTTCCAAGGCTGTCGATCGATCTGCAGCTTCGACCTCTACACAGTGGCTTTCAATTCTCCCGATATGGGTAGACGGTACGTGCCAGGACCTGTGGCTTCTACTGTGAAAATTGGCAACATTTGTATTAACTTATCTGAGCCAGGGCTCGGGACAATAGTATGAAATTTAAATTTGGTTCCAAAGAGAAACTCCCATACACAGTTTTCAAAGCCAGTGAGGTAGAATCTGCTTTGAGGTACATGCAGAAGGGACAGCATATTGGAAAGCTCATAGTCAAGGTGCCTGAAGATGACGAGAAGCTACCATTACTGCCCACGCCTTGCGCATTCACCTTCTCACCGAGTTCTGCATATCTCCTGGTTGGCGGGCTCAGGGGAATTGGTCAATCAATTGCCAGGTGGATGGTTGAATATGGTGCTCGTCACTTCATCTTCCTGTCGAGGACCGCAGGACACACCGAAGGCGACCGTCAGTTCTGCCGAGAGCTAGAAAGTCAGGGATGCCATGTAGTCATGGTTGCAGCAAGTGTCACAGATCTGGCAATGATGGAGCATACAATATCACGGAGCGCACACCCTATCGCTGGCATTATCCAATTGTCGGCTGTCTTAAAGGTACTCAGCCATCTATGTCATCATGGCACATCTTCCTGCTAATAGCATGTTTTCGTCAGGATCGAACGTTTGATAAGATGACCTACACTGACTGGACCACTTGCCTCGAGGCCAAAGTCCAGGGAACCTGGAACCTTCACAAAGCATCGCTCGACCGGCCCCTCGACTTTTTTATCATGTTCAGCTCCGTCGCGAGTTTCATCGGAAACCCAGGACAAGCCAACTACACCGCCGCAAACTCATTCCTGGACAGCTTCGTGCAGTATCGTCGGGGCCTAGGCCTTCCAGCTTCCCTTATAAGCCTTGGACCCGTCGATGAGATGGGTCTTATGGAAAACGAAACAGGCCTGCTAATGAAAGCCCACCAGGCCTTTCAGTGCGTTCTCGGGGAAGGGGACGTTCTGAAAGCTTTTCAGGTCGCTCTTGTCTCAGGGAAGGACAGCGTATCCTCCTCACGACCGGGAGTCATGGCAATAGGACTGTCTTTGAACGTCATCGCCAGCGGGAAATGGCTGCAACAGGACGCGAAATTTGCCGCTCTCGCCAGGAACCATGCTCCTGGGGGTGGAGATTCGGTAGAAGCTACCGAACGGAGGCTGCTCCAGCAGCTTGCATTGATCGAAAGCAACCCTTCGGCTCTGATTGATGGCACGTGTGAGGGTTGGATCATTGAGGGTCTTGGCAAACAGCTCGCCATCTATCATGGACACAATGAAGAGATGGATCGGTCTGAGTATGCGGATCTCGAGGTAGATTCTCTCGCGGGCCTCCAAATTAAACATTGGTTGCGCCGGAAGGCAGATGTAGACCTTTCGGTTGCCCAGATCTCTACTGCAAAGACTGTTGGGAGGATTGCGTCTCTGACTACAGGTGTTTTGCGTGCGAAATATGGGGTGAACTTGGAGAAGGGAGGGGATGTTTAAGTTTCTATTTATTTTTATTTTTTTTTTGTCTCTTGCAGAACACTACCACAGATTGCAATGCATCTCAAGTACATCACCAGGTATATCAAACAAGTAAACATAGACTGTTAGCATAATGACCACCAGACGCTCTGTCACCTATCACTTGACATCCCAGCAAGGTTGTGGAACCAGTTCGGGCTGGTAAATATATTCACACTACCAGCAAGAGCGCTGCTGCACTCTCTGTATAGAATGGCCCGACACGCTTGATGGATGACTATACTGGATAATGAGCAGGCTGTGTTAACTGTTAAACTGGGACTGGTCTATCCAAATCAATGGCTGACCTTGCCTACAATAAAGCTACGGAGGTTACCTGTTGCTATATAGATATTGGCAGGGTAGCAGACAATATTATCAAAGTAGTTAACATTGCCTATACTAATATAACAGCCAATATATTTATCTTGAGTAAATAAGGACACCATAAAATATCCAGCCTGCTTTATTATCTGGTTCACTTGGTTCTGGATAAACTCAGCCTTGGTCATCTGGGCCGCCTTCTGAACTCTGCTGGCGTGACAGCGAGGAATTGGCTGTCTGCACCTGTGATATAAAACCGCTGACAGCTGACATTCTCAGCGGGCGAGGAAATGAGATGAGGGCTGCCACCACGCACTAGGGGGTATAGGGTTATGGCGCACTCTAATTGTATGATCGGAACTGGTGAATGGTTGAGTTGGGTCACTACGTAAACTTCGCCCTGTAAAAGAGGGCCATTCTGGCGTGCTTTGGCGTGACATAAGTATTGATGAAAAGTTTTATAACAGGTCAGAAGGCGTTGCTGTGGCGGGAGAAGTTCGCAGGCTTCCAGGTCGAATAACTCAGAAATCCAGACTGCTAACAGTCATGATTGCGATCTCAAGAGTTCCAGACTTTCTTTGCAATCATACGACTGAGGTTGGGACTACAACAAGTTCTGATTTTGAAATCTTATCTGCTACGAATATAGTATAGTATTGGAATCGTACAACCTGTCTTCCTGATTTACTCAGCTACGAAAAGCGCAGCATTGTGGGTCATAGTTCTCAGGCCACCTGTACTGCTCGAAGCCTTCTTTGTTTTTCAAAATATGATAAATAAAGATTTGGATAGATATAGGTTCCACAGAGGTCTAGACATGGCTAGCTCATTTGCAAACAGAAGTCAGTCGTGCATCATATACATGCCGGTTGGGAATTACCCAAGGTTGTCAAAGATTAAAACCCGATGAAGTTCGACACTTATCTGAACCTTCATGTGAGCTAATTGCTAAGATTTACGCATGTTTATACCAGATGGAGCTCGTCAAGATCCCATGAGCTATTATTGAGTTCAAAACTGTTTTTCTAAGCCCCAGTTTGGTATCGTTTATGGATGTAGCAAGACAGGCTATGACACTATGACCAATACTAATAGGGACCGCTGTTGCATAGCAGTTGCCGGTGATTCTCCCATACAAAACCTCAAATACCCTCCTCCATCACCAAACGAAGGCGCCCGTAAAGAGACTTACATACATGGGGGTGCACAACAATTGGCAAAATATCTCCAGGCTATACATAGCGGTAATGTCTATGCACCCCAGCCTGACGAAGGTTCAACTAGTAATAATGAAGTTGCCTATTTCGTGGAATTGGTAGGCGTTGATCCCAACTCTAAGACGCCATCATTTAGGGCGAAATCTATCAGTCCATCGCCCCATAGCTCTTGCCTGCAACTACCGCAAACTTGGGGGAACATTCAAGACAAATTGAAGGTTGTGATATTCGAAGACTCGGCCTCCGAATTTTCCAATGACCAAGGTGTGGCAAAGATTACGGATAGTACACCGCAGCTGTTGATTTATAAAATGACCGGTCGTGCCGGATACCTTGCCCGGGTTTCGCAATGGACTAGAGTCCGCAATTCTCATTTTAAACCAGGAGAGGAGGATGCTGGTCGCGTAATTGTTATCGTTGATGCAGAAGATCTCCGTGCGGAAGGCATCGAATTAAGCCGCCACCTATCGTAGGAGAAAACAGTCGAAGACTTTTTTATGCACTTAGCCTCTAACGGGCATTTTGTCTCCCTTCTCAACTGCGCACCTCTTATTGTATTATTCAATTGTGACGGCGTGATCCATTTTATGGGCTCAAAGCCTGAAAAAGCCAAAATCTATTTCACTACAGAATTTGCTGAAGGGGAGTACATTCAGCACTGCTCAAGAAATACCGGAGATGACACAGCAGAGACTTATATGATTGGCATCGGAGCTTACCAAAGAAAAATTGGACACAGTTGAAAATATTCAAGCGGCTATAGACAACGGCATCAAGCAAGGTATTTTATGCGCCGACGTCTCGCCCGTTTTGGCTTTTGTTCAACCTCAGATGAATTACGCATCCCCCAATATCCGCCCAAAATTATGAATGAAGACTCTGAAGACAAGGCGCCCAGAGATGTTCCCATTCCAATAGAGGTGATTACCAACAGTAATCACAACAAAAGCAACGACAAGAACAACAGCAACAAGGGGAAAAGGGAAACAAGCGTCACCAGCAGCAACAATGACGACAAGGCTTGGTCCTTCCTTAAGCATATAACAGGTGAACCTGTCGAGGTTGCTCACCTTATTGTTAAGGATGGGCCGTCAGTGGTCTTAAGCCGTGTGCCCTACGCCTCCTTTGGGGCGCTTATGACTGCAGACAGGAAGGAGATTGAAGGCTTCCGGGCAATCACCAATCTGGTGAGCGAGTATGCCAAACCGCGAACCTCCTTACCTAAACCGCTATCTATCGGTGTGTTTGGCCCTCCAGGAGCGGGCAAATCATTTTCATTAAAACAAGTTGTCAAAGGAGTGTTGAAAACGGACCTCAAAACACTCGAGTATAATCTGTCTCAATTTACAAATTACTCTGAATTGATATCAGCATTTCACTCTGTGCAAGCGTCCGCAATCTCCGGTAGAACTCCATTGGTATTATTCGACGAATTTGACTCGAACTTTGGCAATCAGCCACTTGGATGGCTACGATACTTCCTTGCACCAATGGAGAATGGAAATTTTCAGATCACGGCAACATGTATCCTTTGGGTAAAGCGATTTTTGTTTTCCTTGGAGGTACCTCATCAACTTTCAAAGAGTTTGAAAAAGCTGCTGAAAAAAAGGCTGGTGTTTCTGCTAAAGGACCAGACTCTGTCAGTCGGCTGCGTGGCTACGTTGACATTCGAGGTCCGGATCCAGACCCCTACCCCCTAAAAGATCAAATGTATCCGATTCGACGTGCCATGCTACTCCGTGCATTACTTAAAGAATATCCAGGTCTTAACGAAGGATCAAAGGTTAATATCGACGACTCTCTGCTCCATGGGCTATTGACAATCTCTAGATTCCGCCACAGTGCACGTTCAATGGAGGCGATACTTGCTATGAGCACATTGTCTGAAGGGACGCGATTTGCACTCTCCGACCTCCCTTCTGAAGACCAGCTCAATTTGCATGTCAATTCTGGGGAATTTCTGGAATGTGTGCGACGTCGCGAACTACCCACGTATATTGATAAGGAGGAGGTTGCCGAGAAATTGCATGTTGAGCATAAAAAGGCACTGGACAAATATTGTACGGACGATAACAAAGAAATCCGGCAAGCATTGCAACAGGTCAATAAAAGCTGGACAAGTCTAGGAGAAAATTACAAACAATCATACAGGCTTCAAGCAGATGAGATTCCGTACAAGCTTCGAACTATCAAATACTACCTTGCAAGGAAAAGAGTCCCTGAGCGTCAACCTATAGGATCGCTTTCAACAAACAAAAGGACTGAACTTGGCAGGCTTGAGCACGAACGTTTCATTAGCCAAGAGCTGCACAAGAAGAGCCTATATGGACCAGGAAATATATTGCCTCGTCTAATTCCTTGGGATGACTTAGGCGAGCCATGGAGAGATGTTTATGAGGAGTTTGTTGATAACATACCAAAAGGTATGGATCTTTGTGAACATCCAGTTTACGATCTCCAACAAAATGGTGTTCAAGTCCTAGCAGTCCCCACCTAGGAGTTTTACGCATTTTACCTTATTGATATGTTTTTCTTTTTTTTTCTCTTTTTTTTTTTTTTTTTTTTTTTTTTTTTTTTTTTTTTTTTTTTTTTTTTTTTTTTTTTTTTTTTTTTTTTTTTTTTTTTTTTTTTTTTTTTT